CTAAAGCAATAACCTTAAAGTGCCAAATACAACCTGCATAACGTAAACATTAACTGATTACATAGACTTATTTACTTATAATAAAAATTAGTTTTGTATAAATCTTAATTTTGATTCAAAGTCTCTTTCGTACAAGTGATTGAATTAATTAAACAACTGAAAACTTAAATTTTATTTTTAATTTTAATTCTTGAAGTATAGCCAAGTACAATCTTAACTCATTTAGCAGTTACGTTTCTTATTCTCTCGTGTGTACTCATTTTTGAAATGCAATGAAATAGTCCGCGATTTGTTTCGATAGCTTTTTTTTTAATGCTGTTATCCTGTACTTTCTAAACTCTTCTATAATTCCATCAATCCCAAAATTAAGCTTTATACCCAAAGTTAATAACCAATCAAATTTTAAGAAACAAACATGAGTTGCTAATATAGCTCCAAATACATGCTATAGATTTTTGTTGTTGTTTTTAATAAGAAAACTAATTCTTTTCCCCCTAAAACCTTAAAATCTATTTTTGAACTCAACAATACACCTACGTTCTTCGTCACTGTTCGCTATGAATTTCATCAGAAAATTAAAAGTTGCGTTCGAGAAGTTATACAGACAGCTTATGAGAAACCTGTGCTGTCGCATCTGATTTTCCTGGATAGATGCAGTAGCATACTAATGGTCTTTACACTAATTGAAAACGCGCAGCAAAAATACTTGTACAAAGTAGAGTTTAGTTTGACTTGTGCTTCGAAAGCGCAAAGATATCTTGGTTTTAAAAGGATGTTATCTTAAGTTTTGAACGTCAAATTGAAGATGACAGTCACACGACTTTAGCTTGTTGAACAACACATGCGCATAAGGACTAAGTTACTAGTTTCATTAAACTTGGTCATCGCTGACATGAGTCTGCTATAATTGGATTCACATCGAAACATGGAATAATTTCTTGAGTGCCTTACGGTTCTACCCGAGAACACTAATAGTAAATAGGCTTACGAGGGAAGAGAGAAAAGGGTTACCATCTCATATTTATTATAGATATATTAAAGAACCTGCATAGAATAAGAACAAACACTATTTTCCGTTCGGTGATTCATTACTAAAAATAGCGCCAGTACGCCCAAGAAGAGAAAATACATAAAAGAACTGTAGACCCTGAAATTTTGTAAAACTTCTATGATTGGAGCTGGTAAAACATTCAACGCGGAAATGAAATCCCCTGAAGTTCAAATTTAAATAAAAAACGTTAAAGAATAACAGGATTCACGAGATTAATATTCGCCGGGAATATAGCATTTGGAGCTTTATTTTTGTGCATCAATTAAATAAAATCCGTAAAATTAATGATCGTACAAATTGTGAATAAAAAAGAACGAAGGAAATGAATTTAAAGCATTCTAGGAATAGCTCTTAAAGTTACTAATTAGTCACACACACGTAAAACCAGTAATTATATAAACAAAGAACGCTTAGAGGAAGTCACTAAATTGCATATGGAAGTTTTTATTTACATCCTGTTTATAAAAGGGATTTTTATTTCATTCTGTTTATAAAAGATCAGGCACGCACACAATTATTATCTAAGAAGCATCTGGGTATAACTTTCACCCTTACAAGTTATCTGGACTACTTCTTGTTAGTCGGTAACTAAATATAAAAACAAAGACACTAAGTTTATGTTTTGATTGTACTTCTGAGGCTATTTTATGAGTGTTTCCAGAAAACTTATAATATATCAACGAAGGCAAGGTATAGGGTTTCACCATGATTTTGAATCCCGTATCTTAATATAATATATAATAATAATTTTGGATTAATAATTTCACATACCGGAGGAATTCGGTCTTGAACTGAATAACAGGATTTATTTAACACTCAGCCCTCGAATCAGGGAGACATGTTTGGTAGGTTGATTCCCAAACAAAGCTTTCCGACACACTCTTTAAGTTATATGTATATAAAAAGAAGAGATATTTGAACTCCTTGCGATATCTGGAATCTGAATTGCCCACTAGCGTGAATTCGCACTAGTTTCCAGGTTAAGAGGGAATAAAACCCATACCCCAATCTAAAATCACACACAAAACAAGTTAGTGGCCATACTAGCGATACAAGATCAGGTTCTTCAGCTCCATAAAGCCATTTTCTCCCGGTTTTTGTAAGTTATATCGACAAAGGTGGCCAAGTACAGTACCTGCCTGATTGTTTTGTTTTTTGGAAATTCGCGCAAAGCTACACGAGGGCTATCTGCGCTAGCCGTCCCTAATTTAGCAGTGTAAGACTAGAGGGAAGGCGTACCTGCCTGAACATGAACACTTCTGGTATTTTGTCCAAGAGGAACACAGTCCAGTCACATCCCTAAATTACGCATCTTTGTGGCCAAACACTATTGAAAGGTGATTTCTTTTGGTAATAAAGTGTTGTTGTTTTTTGAGGTTAACAAATCAACTCCTTCCACAGAGTACATATTTTTTTATTCTAACTTGAATACCGTGAACGTAAAACATGGCACCCCTTTATAATTTACTCAGTCCCCCCGAATTTAGTGTCATTGATTCATAGGCTGGATGTTAAAAAAAATCATTTTGTATATTCGAAGATTTATGAACAGTGACATGTCACTTGTTCCATCAATATATGCACAAACGTACCGAGAGCCTCGCACATCAAATGTGATGTACGCTTGTTTTATGCATTTAATTTAAAATAATCACTTGTTTATTTGTGTGCTAATATTGCACACTACTCCATTCCACAACTTCTTAAATAATTCAAGCTTAATTAATCTCATTGCAAAGGCCAAACAATATTCTACTTCAACTACCAGGGTAATTAAGACTTATCTCATTATACAGATATAACATTACTCACAACTACCCGAGTATCTCATTACAACTATTGAACATTAACTCACAACTACTTTGGTAATTCATTACAAAAGACTAACAGTACTCCACAACTATCCGAGTACCTCATTATAAAGATCCAACACCACTCCACTTCATAATTACCCGAGTACCTCATTAAAAAGATTCAACACAACTTCATTTCATAAATACCCGAGTACCTCATTATAAAGATCCAACACAACTCCACTTCATAATTACCCGAGTACCTCATTAAAAAGATTCAACACAACTTCATTTCATAAATACCCGAGTACCTCATTATAAAGATCCAACACAACTCCACTTCATAATTACCTGAGTATCTCATTATAAAGATCTAACACAACTTCACTTCATAACTACTTGTGTATCTTGTTACAAAGATCTAACACTACTCCACAATTACCCGAGTGCCTCATTAGAAAGATCTAACAGTACTCCACTTCATAATTACCTGAGTGCCTCATTAAAAAGATCTAACAGTACTCCACTACATAATTATCCAAGTACCTTATTATAAAGAATTAACACTACTCGACTTCATAATTATCAGAGTACCTCCTTAAAATAATCCAACACAACTCCACTTCATAATTACCTGAGTACCTCATTATTAAGATCTAACACTACTCCACTTCATAATTACCTGAGTACCTGATTATTAAGATCTAACACTACTCCACTTCATAACTGCTTGTGCAACTTGTTACAAAGACCTAACACTACTCCACTTCATAATTATCAGAGTACCTCCTTAAAAAGATCCAACACAAATCCACTTCACAATTACCTGAGTACCTCATTATTAAGATGTAACACTACTCCACTTCATAACTGCTTGTGTAACTTGTTACAAAGATCTAACACTACTCCACTTCATAACTACTTGAGTACCTTGTTACAAAGATCAAACATTATTCCATTTCACAACAACTTGCACATTATGCAATTCTTTCATGCATAATACCTTTTCATGACAAAAACAGCCTTGCACAACTACTCAGTTTGAAAATGTGTGAGAAAAAAAATGTGAATAAAAAAAAATAAATGTTCTCCTTGTATAATATAAACAGATCATTAAAGCCAGTATAATCAACATTGGTTTATTCAAATAAAGATAATTAACAGTTTGATTTACATAATTAGGTTAAATAGTTAACTGAATTCATTAAACATATTCAATGTTTTTAGAAAATTATATATGAATCAAAAATATATAAAAAATTCATCTAAACAGAAGAACTTAAAACAATAATATCTTTACTTAACATGTAAAATACTCAATGATAAACTTTAAAAAGATAATTTCAGATAACCAATATGATTTATTGTTATGGTTTGCAATGGGTAAGAACAAAACATTAATCATACTTGTCTCAAGAATCCAGTTCACCACCGGAAGAGGTACATGTGCAAAATATGTCATATAAACATTTATCATAATCATTAGACTTTGAAATGCATAGCTGTGCATCACAATGACACCACACAGTTTAACAGTTACAGCTAATAATGACAATAATATTTCCTCAAATTTTTTATCAAAAAATAAAGTCAAGCAAACTTCAGAAAACTCTGGTTAGTAAGAAAAAACTAATATGCTTAAAAAAATCAAATAGAAGAGAGAGAGATAGAAAACAATATTGATGAAACGTTTGATACACAAATAAAAATACAAGGAAAAGTAGGAATCATTTAATATAGAAATGGATAGCAGCTACAGAAAATAAAAGAAAGTGAACAAAAATACAGGAAGAAAGAAATTAATTTAAGAGAAACTTGATACAGACAAGATCAAGAAAATTTAAGAGAAATTTAATATAAAGAAAATGAGTAAACTAAACAATTTTATATAAGGTAAATGATCTAAAACTCTGAAGAACAAATCCATAACTTTCAATGCTCTCAAAGAAGATGAATTAAAAAAAACTGTTTAACATATTATAGCTGAAGAAAGCCATTACATTGTTTAACATGAAAGAAACAAAAAATACCTACTAAGCTGCTTGAAATGGTTATTATTTTCTAATAACATATAAACAAATTCAATTCAAAAAATAACAATGTACAAGTTATCAAAAAAAAAATAAATGTCTTTGGTTTTATGATGACGCTTTTTTTACTATAAAAAAGAAAGAATTAAGTAAGACCCTGTAACCCACAAAAAAATGGTCCTCCTTTTTTCAGTTAAATATTTCTAATCCAAACCAAAAAAAGGGAAAATCCTTTCTGAAAAGGCTTGGGTTAAAAAGTTTGATTTTGTGATGATTCATTTTTCTGATATAACAGATATAATTTAAAATATTTTTTTCTAAAGGACATTTCCTTTTACTACTACTAACACTAATTCTACCAGTAAACTATTTTCATGAGTTATATCAGACAAAACTGAGACACAAATATTAAATACACTGGGTGCTTCTGATCTCCATACCTAGTCTCCATATCTCAGTTTTCTGTTCAGTTCTGATTCACTTACTCTCCAAATATGAATTATAGCACTCTTCATACACTGCTACACAACAAAATGTTGTATCTATGTAATGCCTTTCAAACACATATATATACTATCTTCTACAAAACACTGCATTCTGTAATCTTTCAGTCATAAAATATATTATTTATTTAAACTGGTCTTGAACATAAATGATTTACACCTTACTTGTATTGCATTAATCCCAGGAAAACAAGAATGTGCATTTGATAAAAATAATTTGTTTGATGTTTTACATGTTTCATATTTCTAGAAACTTCTTAAACTTGTAAGAAACTTGTTTATGACTGAAATATGACAACAAACTGACTATTCAAAACAACGTGTATACACAAAACATTTTTAAAATGTATCAGAGAATATCACGTTTCAATCGTTTACAATAATGTCAATAAACAGAAAAACTTTTCATGAACATTAACATATTAATGGTTATCTTCTTGTAAATCTAGTTTCAAAAAATACATCAACAATTTGTTATTATACAAATACTCTCTTTTAGAAAATACACAACACACAGATGTGAAAATATCTGTATAGACATTAACCACTAAAAACACATCTTCATAAATAAATGTTACATCTATACTTTTACCAGAATGTTTATGACTATAAACAATTTTTGAAACTTTTTGTGCTAATGAAAGAAAAAAATTTAGTGTGCTGTATCTTTAAGAGACTTACAAACGCAAATTAAATTTTACCCAAGTAAGTCTTGTAGCATCACAACACAGGAGTTCTAATGGAGTACAAATCACCCTAACAGCTGACACACAAAACTTCTTGTTGAATGTACAGGGTAGGGAGGGGGGGAGCATTCACTATATGAAAACCAACTAGTAATTAAACAAAAAATTCAAATACTAATTTGACAGTTGTTTTCAGTAACCAGCAATTTGATGTGTTTATATGATGAACAATAGAATATCAGATATCATCAGCAGAAAGCACTTTGGTGTGACAAGAAATAGAAGACCAGATACGATCAGCAGAAAGCACTTTGGTGTGACAAGCAATAGAAGACCAGATACGATCAGCAGAAAGCACTTTGGTGTGACAAGCAAAAGAAGACCAGATACGATTAGCAGAAAGCACTTTGGTGTGACAAGCAATAGAAGACCAGATACGATCAGCAGAAAGCACTTTGGTGTGACAAGCAATAGAAGACCAGATACGATCAGCAGAAAGCACTTTGGTGTGTTTATATGGAAAGTAATAGAAGATCCCATATCATCAATAAACAGCAAGTTGAAGATTTTCTAAGACAGGAAACAGAAGACATCAAATACAAAAAGTATTGTATGTTAATTTTCTATAACATATTTAATTAGAAACTGCTTTTTTTGTGGCACTTTGTTTCTCTATTTAGTATGTTATATCAAAATATGATAAACACATCCAATATATGTCATCAAATAATCAAATTACACTACAATCTACTTTCCAGTAATACTAGTCATAAAAAAGTTCTTAATACTTATTTGTATTTCTAGAAACATAACATAAAGAAAAAGTTGAGCAAGTAATACCAAACAGAGATAATACTATTTAAATAGAATGTCTAATTATTATAATAAAGAGATATAATAAAATTGTTTAGCAAATTAAGAAATTTTTAACTTGTTATGACTTACAGAACAGTGGGTTAATGAATTATATATGCAAGTATGTTTGCTGAACAGAAAAACAATGGATATTACCTTAAGACTACCTTTTGCTTAAGTATAACAAATACAGCAGTATAGAATAAAATGCAATATGATAGGCCTTCTCGTGTAAGTGTTTGGGTCCAAATTCACTATTTTTTATTTCTTGGAAAAGAGCTCTGAAGAACAATCTTTTTCATTTGTAAAGTGTGTTTTGTTTCAGGAAACGGTGATAACACCTATACTAATAATGATTTTGTGCACATGAAACTTATGTTCATTGCTTAGCTAATATATTATTGTTAGCTCTGATCTAAACTTTTTTTCTTAACACACAAAGTTACACTTTAAGAACAAATTTACTTTTTATGAGGATCACATATACACAGATTAAGTACTACTGCTTCATACTCTTAACAACAACTTGTTGAGTGCCTTATATTTTAAAAACAACTTTAATTTCTTTTTCGAATAACATTAAATTAAAAGTGTTTCAATTTAGAATTAGAGAGATATAAAAACAAAACTACTAAAACAACACAGATAAGTAGATATTTTTCAGCTTAGAATGTTCAATAGCATCATTAACCATTTACAGTTTCAACTTACTCTTGTTTTCTGCAGTTGTAATATTGAAGAGATTTTATAAAGAAATGGATAAATACTCATAGTTTAAGCTCTGGAAAATCAAAGCTAATCTTACAAACACAATTAGAGTTAATTAATAAATAGGATAAATGCTATCACAGTTTAAGCTCTGAAAGTTTAATGCTGTTCTTACAAGCTAATTAGCTAAGAAAAGAACTTCAGATTATTCAGTTTATATATCTGTTAAATTTAAAACAGGTCCAATTATTACAGAGTTTTGGATCTTTATATTACTCATTTGGAAACCTTTTCAACTAAAAACACAAAGCAATAATACTAGTAGTTTCATATTTTTTTTTGCTAATTTTAAGCAGTCAGCTTAAGTTTCTGTTGCCAGTAGAATATATTAATATTTTACGCATGTTCAGTAGTAAAATTTATTTTATATTTTACGTATTTCTCATATTCATGTTTTTAGAAGAAAACTGTCACTCTTTTCAAAATTTCTTGGGAAGAAATAATACACTGTAAAAATTAAAGATCATACATGTTGTCACTTATGCAATTCTTCAAGACATTTTCATTGTTCTATGCAAAATACTCAGTTTGATTTATATTATTGAGACTAAATTAGTCTAAAGCCACTCTTAAACATATAAAATTTCTTTAAAAAAACAACCAAATCTAGAGACTTTATACAATGATATGGAATAGTTAATTTATGCAAAACTGTTTCTTAACTCATGATCTCATCTTTAACAAAAAATTCTATTTTTGAATCACATTTAACAACTAAAACATAGCTTCTCATTTAATACCAAAATGTATACTATATAAAATGTATACTACTGAGCTTACATTTTGACAACATTATTCTAAAAAATACTAAGGCAGATTGGATGAAGGCCACAGCTATGCAACAACAATGTCAGAATCATCCAATAAGACAATGTCTGTAGTTGAAACCGAGTAGATATCTGAATTATGGTCTTCTTGTGCTATTTCATGACTTCCAGTAAGTCTGACAGTTGTTATGGAAGAGTCACTAGACCTTTGGGAGCAGGAGGTAGAGACAGAACAGGTTTGTTTATATCTATTTTCTTGAAGGGCAACCATGACATTACAGGGGAAGAGACTATTTTTAAAGGTATAAAAAACAAATCTGAAAAAGGCAAAACAGAGTAATTAAACAGCATACAAGTTAAAGCAGAAATAGCAACTCTTGTGATGAACACAAACAACAAACACATAAGGAACTGCATTTTGATCATTTAAAGTTGTTTTTCTTTATGTTCCAAGATAGCATCTTGACAGAAGTTACACCACTATGAACATATTTTGTATTTAAGATATCAAATGCTAAGATTTTTTACGAATCAGCAGAAAATTTATAATTAATGCTTCTATCCAATGCTTCACTAACAGTTTACCTAGAGAATTCATTGTGAAGATATTTTTTTGTCATAGTTTTAAGCAGATTTTTAATAACTTAGCTGAAAGATACAAAGAGCATAAATAACAATTATGTCTGACTTTTAAAACACAATATATGTGAAAACAAATTATAAGACTAATGTATAACAAATTACCCTATTTCAATAGGTCTAGTTCCCACTTTTAAAGATAAAACATTTCTTCAACTGTTTGTAGCTCCAGTTGGGCATGAATTAACTTTTTCTCTTAAACCATTATCAGTCTGAAAAATTTCTGTATCTACAAATAACTGGTTTGTGCCGATGTCATTCACAAAAAAATATGTAATTTCACTTACAAATTACAGATACATACTTTTCCATTTAAAAGTAACAGATCTGTACTTTTCCTGTATGTATCCATTTACAAATGATAGATATGTGCTTATCCTATTATAAGTTCAGCCAATATATTTTCATTGTATGTGGTACTATGGTTAACTACATGTTGATAAGAATGAGTGGAAAAACAAACTTAATTAAACATTAAGTGATCTACCTTGGTAAATATGACATGACTAGAACTAAAACAACTATGGAGCAACAAGAGATGACCCAGAAACTACCCCCGGGGAAACATATCTAGGAATTAAACATTAAAATGACCTACCTTGGTAAACAAGAAATGACTAGAACTAACACAACTGTGAACCAATATCGTGCAGTTGCCATGACATGCTGCATGACCCAGTAAGGGTTCTGTAGGAATGAACTACCGAGACACAGGGCATTATACAGGACTGCAAAACCTAAATAAACTGCAACACTCAGCAATGTGGCAAGCAGCTGGAGAGATGTCTACAGGATGAAGAGAAAAAGTTAACTTGTAAACCAATAAATTAAAAATACCATAAAAAAGTTAGTTAAATTACTAATGCAAACACATTTTTTAAAATAAAACAAGCAAGTATAATTAAAGGGTGAAATATTTAGCTTATTTAAATATGATCAAACATTTGAAATATCCAGTAATTGACAGTTCAGCAGGGCTTTTACAAGCTCCCAAACATCAACACCCTCACATATAAATTTGAATTGTCCAATCAATAAGAGCAATCAACAGCATCATAGCTGGTTTTATAAGCACAATGGACAAATATATATGCAGATCAAACCCAACCACAGTGTTTGATTTATCTGGATCCTCAACATAAGCAACAAAGCGACTTATTCAGAAAAAACATTCTAACACTTGCTACATCGGTGCCATCAGTCTAATTCCCAAAATTCTAGAATACAGGCTTACATAATTTATATTTCAAAATATTGTTTATTTGCACATTAATCAGGCTATTAAAGATATTACTACATAATGAATTTTACTTTTAATTCAAAAGCATTTTAAGATAATTTATACACACTTTCATCTTATTTTTTGAGAAACTATTTATTGTAAACCAAGCTTTCAGAAACGTTAAGAACTGTAAATAATTTAATGCTTTTCTGTGAAGTTAAAAATAAAAACAAGAGCCTTGTCAGTAAAATATTAGCAGACATAAAAAATATTATAAAAACATATACATCACTGAAATCAATATAATATTTAAATGAAGTAAAACATTTAGTACATAACTATATTCTCTATTTTAGTGTAATTTATTTGATGCATTTGTTTTGGATTAGTTTGTATGTCTATTCAATTTCATGCTTTGTTGTGTTCATACTGTTTTGTTGAAAATCTTTTTTTTCAAATTTTATACCCCCATACATCATGCGTACATCAGTACATAGTTTTATTCTAGAAAATATTTTAAGTTTTATTATTTCTTATTTGATATACTTGTGAACTTAAATTTATATTCTTTCCACCAATTAAACCTTAAAAGAGTATCTGCAATAAGACTTGATGCCTGAAATTTATGAAAATCTTTCAAAAATAAATGTTTTACAAAAAGACATTTTGCATCTTTTAGAGTAGAAAAAATCTTCAAATAATGAAATTCTTAAGAACTTTAAAAACCTTATGTCTTTTTATCATTGTGATCTACAATAATTTTGTATTTCATAAACAATAAAGTCAGAAAAAACTCCAGTTATACTTGAATGTTACAGCTGAATTTCATCTCAAGATTAATAATGCTATGAAATTTCATTAAAAAATAATTCACATTTATGGATGACTTTCTTTAGGAAAGTAACATGCAAACAGCAAAACAAACATGTTTCTAAGGAGGATGGAATGCAGAACAAAAACATGACTAAAGCTTAAAAAAAAAATTCAGGAATATTTTTCTTTGAAGTCTTCAGGTGGAAGTTAAGAACTTGTATAAATGACATGTTTAGTTTCAATAATGAAAAAAATGCTTGAAAAATTTAGTGTTTACAAATGCTTAAATATAACTGACATGGAAAGATTATAAAGAAAAAAACACAATAATTTAATTATATTTTGTTTGGTTTAGATGGATAGCCCTTTACTCAACACTACAATTTAAGCCTCTACTTAATCTTTTTTTCAATGAAACTTATGTTTTGGTGAAGAAAATGAAATTAACAAATAAACTCAATTATAGTATTGATAGGATTTAATTAAAATGACACTAATCTTAAGAAAATTATTATACCCTACAACCCTTCCACTGAGGTCGTAATAAGTGACAGATGTAAGTTTTATTTTTTGATACAATGCTTTTCCAAATTATTATGTCATAACAAATTCCTCAGAAATAAAAAACCAAAAATAAACAAGTGTCACGTGACACAAAAGGGTAAAGCACTAATCTATCTGGAACCATAATAGTAGTTCATAACAGGGATTGCACAAAACCCTAATAGAACGTTCAGGCAAAATGCACTTTAAACAGTAAAGATTCAGTTCAAACAACACTTTAAAACCTTTACTAACAACTACTAAGGTTGTAAAAAAAAAGATATACATAATATTCAGTTTTATCACCCACACTCATAGAATAATTACTTTAAAAGACACAAAGGTCTATTTAAAGTGATGTTTTAGACAAATATGTTTTATTTGAAAAGGCTAATTTTCTACTGGTAAGATTTTCCATGCGCTTAGGGGTAGGGGTGTTGTGTCTTAGTTTTGTTTTTATACAGATGTTCATGGGTACTGTTCTCCCCCAAGACCTTGCTTTCTAAGAGTGCATGAACATGCGAGTAGATACTATTTTTACACAATACTCAGCACCTATCACAACATACAGATACTTTCTTACCCATGATCTAGTTTCAACAGCTAAATGTGCCAATTGCACCAGCACACATGCTGTAAAGATGGTGGATCCAAATTCCCACATTCCCAGATCACTGTCATAGAAGCTCTGAAAATATGTCAATGAAGAAAAGCTTTTTAAAACTTTTGAATTACTTTAAAAATATGTTTCTTCTTTTTCTTTGTTCACCTTTGACAACAAAACTACTTACAGAAACTTGTAATTTATCCTAGTTCACCTTCATTCCAGCCAGCTTTAGATTTCAATTCATTATGCCATATACTCATATCTTCAAATTCACACATTTCATCTCCATTTTTTATCAGCCATATACGATGCTTTTACTTCTTTCTGTATACTGAAAACTTTTATTTTTGAGTAAAAACCCTAACTTATAACTTTCTTTGTCTTCTATGTTTACCCTATATGCTTTTAAATATTATGAAGCAAGCACCAATTGCTTACTATTACATATAGTAGATTGTTAACATATACGTGTCTAATATTGACAATAACAAAAAAAGTGGTAATGACATACTAAATACAAGATCAAGGTATATATTTTAAAATTATAACTAAAATACATAATATATGTTATACAACACAATTATTAAACAGAGCATCATAGAAGAAAAATCTTATAAGAATTCTCATCTGGATAACCCTATGTTTGGATATTTCTGCAATTTTACTGGTTGAATAAAATACCCTTTGTAATTAATTAAATAACACATACAAAAACCACACTTCACCAACTCAACCCTTTCACTGCACAATTAATTTTCAGACTGATTCCCTAAAAGTGTCAGTTATCCACCAAAAAATAAAAGTATGAATTTGACTCTTTGTATTACTTTTTCAGTATTGAAAGAAGTTGTATATTCTAAATCTGACAGTAATATTCCTTGAAAACTGTATTGGACAGTGAAAAATAATGATTTAAACAAAAAATTGAGGAAAATTAAAAGAAAAGTGTTCTCCAGTAAATGACATAAATACAGGCAAAACTAAGTCAATAAGAGGCCAGAATCATTACAAAATATAAAACAAATTATTTAGATAACAATATCCAAGACATAAAGAAGCTGTCTTTATATAGATCCTATATGTGTTCCTGCAAAGTTGTCAATTTCATAATGAGGCATATAAACATTCAGGTTTCAAGGTGTAGAACACAGATGGCAGCATGCATGTGCAGGTTTGGCGATTGTTTCAAGATATTCCCGCATGTCGTAGTGGAGGGAAACTTATTTTGATAGCCATGGGGTACATCCAAATTTTGCAGTCAGTGGGTATAAATGTTTATTTGGATATATATTCGAACAACGCAGCAAAATGGTTAATCTAGTTCACACCTAGACAGTTGTTCAAATAACTAAGAATATAAATAGCATTTTGACCACTATGTTACATGCCAGATATAATGCGGTTGACATGTTATTACTTTCACTCATAAGTTCTTATAATTCTAGGTGTTTAACTGTTTAATCTTTCCCCCTGCCAATTATTGCACAACTGGGAACTAAATAGTTTGAGAAACATTAAATTTTTGAACAAGACATTATTTATAGAATCGATCTTTTTGTCTTAGCAGTATACAAAACCATAAAAAAAAGTATTTCAATTTCTTTAATGTTTGAGAAACACAGTTATAAGAAGAACAAAGTTAGGGAGGCATTTCCAGAATTTTGAACTTAACACCTGATGCACAAGTCAACCAGACCAAATTTGGAGGTTTTGGGGAGCAAAAATAGTCCCTACCCATACCAGGAACAGGGCTTTGTTAGCATTATGGTGTAATTTCCTGTTTCTTAATGCTGTGGAATAAATCTGTTGTGTGCCTCCTCTAATTCACCCTAATTTCACTATGACAGGAATCCTGTCATGATCGCAACCACATGTACTGCACTTTACAGCTGCACGTCAGCTTGTTCATAACTTCCTCGACCATCACTGTAAATGGAGAAGTGATTGCTGACAAAAACTGTGGTAGTTTGTGAACAGCAACAGCATGCCACTTTACTCCACTCCTAAGAAGTATAGTTTTTAGGACCTTTAGTATCTTGGAAGGTGTGTAAAAGTGCAGTGTTTTGATGGGTTGAAAGCCATGGATAGTCGCAGATAGTCAATCATAACACAGTGTAGGCTGCGAATAATGAGAAATGGATATGCTCGTTCGATTCTGACAATTAAGACAAATAATTTGGTGTAATCAGAATAAAGATATCTCTAATTCTGGAAAGGGTTTTTCCAGAACTCTCCCTCCTAAATATGTTTGGTTGATTCATGCATCAAGTGTTAAATACTTATAAAACTTCTTTTTAATTCTGAAATAATTAGTTTCCCTTATATAAATTCCTCCACAATTTACATGAAAGTACATTTCTAAACATACAACAACAATGTTAGAGTAATGCTGAACAAAATCTCCCCACTGGGGTTACATACACATACAAATTTACTATAAGTAACCCACTTTTTAGAAAATAACGTTTGGAGACAGTTTTAATGGGTAGTGAAAGAAACTTTATTACAAATGTACATTTTGACAAACTTATGACATTATCAGGTAGTTGTATTTCAGTGACATTTAGTGGTTGACCTGATCGGTTGGTAACAAGATTAGGTTGTGCTTCAATATTGTAGTTTTCTCGGTTGTTCAAGCTTTTTGCTGTGTATATATATTTCTTCTTTTAATTTAACAGCAAGTTGCTATGGTTGATGGTGGCTATATATATTGTTGTACTCATCTGGTTTGAGGTAGCAGGCAAGTTAATGGTCTAATTCCTGTTTACATTTTAGTAAGTAGTTTAGTTCTTGGTATTTAAAATTCAGGGTAGCTTTTAGAAGTTTTTGTTGCATGTTTTGGATAATACCTGTAAAACAACTGAGGTAGAAGGCAAGTTAATGGTCTAATTCCTGTTTACATTTTAGTAAGTAGTTTAGTTCTTGGTATTTAAAATTCAGGGTAGCTTTTAGAAGTTTTTGTTGCATGTTTTGGATAATACCAATTGAGGTTTTTCGATAACTTGACTTTTACAAAATTGGGAATTAAGTGTTCTGAGCAGCATTGCCTAAGGAACAAAATATCATTTTCTCTACCCATTCAAGTTGTCTCCAAACTTTAAAGGCCCAACGTAATGGATAAATGGTGTGTGCCCAGTCATTGAAGAGTAAAAAAAGCTAAGCCTAATAAAATGTTTAAATATAATATTCAAACAAGGAAGTTAAGTTTGCAACATCAAATTAATTTTGTTTTAATTAATAGTGAAGCCTAAATGGATTTGTACAATAAACTTTACTAAAATATAAGGTTTATTGCATCTCTTAAAGAAAGAAAAATAGTAGTACTAATAGCAGCAACAAGATGATACAATTATGTTACTACTTTGTTAAAGATAATTCAACATGATCATTTTTCCTTTAAACAGCATAAAAATAAACAGTGTACGACTAGATCAGCTATAAACAGTATTCTACAGCATTCAATATAACTAAACTGCACTCTATAAAATCAAATATAACTAGCCAGTGTTCTGGTAGATTCAACAGAACAATAGTGTTCTGCTAGATCCCACATACCAAGCTTATACTCTGTGAGAATGGATATAATATTACAATTCAGTGCTTTCTCTCTCTCTCTCTCTCTCTCTCTATATATATATATATATATACACATATGTTATTTCCACCCAACATTCTTTAATAGTTTTAATAATATGTAACTAACACAACTCACCAGTACAGGTACAAACAAGATTATTACACTCTGATAGAGTGCATCCAACATGTTTAACCAGAAGGAATATTTGGTATAAACCTATGATGAAGAAGAAATAAAGATCCAAATTAATAATTTGATGATTATTTCATCACAGACTTTAGTTTTAGACCTTGCATTCATTAACAAGCACTTGACAACAGCAACAAAATCTACCAATATTACTCAATTGTTAAGGCACCAAGGTATTTTTATAAGATTCATTATACACTGCAAGAACAAGTAAAGATTAAAGATAATATATGAATGCTAAGAAAACCTACTGAGCAGTGTCGTCCTTGTGAATATAGGCTAGGCTTCTGAAGCAACACATCTGCAGGACAATCCTGATCATAAATGCCAAACACCAGGGGTGGCAAAGCAGTGAAAAGAACATTGAACAGCATGAGGTAAAGTTGATCTATCATTACCATCCCCGAAAAACCACAGTACAGCTGATACCAGAATATCACAAAGATGAATGACTAGAGAAAATAAAGAACAAGTTAACAACAAAGAGACATCACATCTCTACTATCTTACTTACGTAAAGTCCACAAGTAACATGCAACTACTTTTCTTCACAATTCTGTGAGTTTTAATTTTTTTTAGTTGAAAACCTTTACCTAAAGTAATAAAAACTTAAAACTATTGTGGTATTCAGGTACACTGATGACCTACAAATGTCCTAGAAAAGTTATGCAGTGTAATATTTCAAACACAGATATTAAAGGAAATACAAATACATAAATGAAAAAAATAAAAGTTATAATTTTCCTACACTGAAAATGTATCTCTGATAGGTACTTGCTTCCTCTGACATAAATAGCTATTTTCGTTCAGTGCTGCCCTCTATATGCAAATAAATATGTCCCAAGTCTTCTATATCCTTTCCATTGGAACTGACTGATTCCAATGCATCTGTCATGCATGAACCCTCCGCCAATAAGTAGCTATTTTCAGTATAGGAAGATTATAACTACTGATACGGTACATTACCTCCACTCACAATGAGTAGGTGGAGGGACTAGTACAAGGGAAAGAAAGAAGAATCCTTCAAAAGCATCTGAAGGACACTCCTTAAGCTGAGACAGTCAAATTCGATGTGGGGAACTGCACCACTTCTGAACCAGGTATACTCTTTGCCCATCATAGAAAAATGTTGCATATATGGGTGGAAAACAGAGGAGCACATCCAATTGGGAAAGAACTATGTGATCCGAACCATGCAATATTTATGAAATTCAATCCTAGAACTTATAAAAATTGGTAAAATGATAAGGATGTGCCGCAATGTGTAGAGTGGTTAGGGCATGATGGACCATACACGGGAAATTAACTACAACCAAAACCCATGCCACTGGGAACCAACATCCCCATTGGGGTAGGTAGGATGAGGATCATACTATCGGTAAGTCAACTACACTCCAAAACCAATTGAAACAAGCCAGAAAAGAGGCTAACCATCGGGAGAAGGCGGATGACCTTGCCAATGTCCAGAGGAAAAGCAAGTGAGAAGATTGAGGACAGGAAGGTCTGGATGAAACACTGGTGACTGAGGGTGGCAAAGAAGGGACAGAGACAGAGAAAAAGGTAATGGAGGAGGAAGTTGGAGCTGGAGAAGCTGCAGAAACCACAGCTAAGATGGCCAGGAAAGAATTATCAGAAGGATTGAACATGGAGTATCAAGGATGAACAAAATCCCCTGTAGGAGGAGGAGAATGGGAGGATAGACAAAAGTGTTTGTCCAATCCTGACTGAAAACACCAATAGCCAGAGCAAGAAGATGAGGAACCAGAGACCTAACCAAAGCAATTTGTGGTTAAGGGACGGAGCAAAAGCCTCTATGTGAGGAGTACCTCACTGAAGTCAAAGCCACTAGAAAACAAAAGGACTGAGGGACCACTCCATAGGATAAATGTTGTCTGGACAGGAATCTGATCCATGACAAGAGCGAAAGCACCCAGAATCTAACATGCAATGATAGGAATATCGAGCATGTGGGCCTAAAAAGAAGATCCAATCTATCAATACAGAGGGATGGAGAATGGGTGCTGCCCTGGTGATTGAGATAAGCAACCACAGAAGAAAAGCCAGAATGGATCATTACCAGAAAATTTCTAGCCAGATAGAGAAAATAAACCCAAACACGACCTATGGTGAGAAGCTGCCGGGTGATGATAGGATAAGACCTCTCAACCGCAGACCAAACATCCAGAATCTTCCAGTTGATCAACCCACACTCCATTCCTAAACGGTTGTGTCATGAAACATGGAAAACTGGATGATCAAGGTAGGAGGAGGGGTAATAAGAGCCAACAAAGGATCACTGCAAAATTCCACTGGCTGTGAAAAGCCCACGAAAGAGTATGCATATGAGCCTGGCTGAAGGGGATAAGGGCTACCATGGAAGATTACATCCCTAAAAGCGACAGAACTTCACAAGCTGTAATTGAACTGAAAACCCATCAAACCAAGTCTAAGAGGAGAAGGGTGGGCCCAACTGTGATGTATGTTGATATTTGATAATTCACAGTAAGGACTTCTCCAAC